ATGAAAGCATATCTTCTTTTTAAATTGATCGCATAGAAATTTATTCAAAATCGTTTTCAATAATTTCAGCAATTTAAATTAAAATAACTGATCTTTTTTGTAATAAATTCAAAATTATTATAAATATAAATCTAACATGGAATGAACAACAGAAAAACAAAAACAAATCATACCCTTCTTACTTTATTAAGTTAATAAGTATAATTACAATAATCATTCTCATATATTAATACAACACTCAATCAATTTAATGTAATAATTTCTAAGAATAATCTGTAATTTAATATTCAACAGCATCATTCAAATAAAACTGTATAATAGTAGTATTTCTGGCGTATTTTACAAACAGCGCTATTTAAATTCAGTGCAGGCGCAATCCCACCCTGAAATAAACGTAAAAATATGCTTATATTATGTATCACTACACTCTGGAACGGACTTCCTAAATCCTCAGCCTTATGCAAAATTGAATTTTACTACTAGTACTTTAAAATGTTATTCCGGTTGTCTATCTTTGTAGTCAGTTGTAGCTTTTTGGCAAATCCTTTTAACTGCATAGCCACAGCGGCTGCTTTATAAGGGATAGTAGTGCATTAGAAGAGTTCTCCAATACTATGTCCCGCCTATGCTTATTTAAAATTCCCTACATAGCACATACGCGGCCTACGAGAAATACTACATTTTTAATAACACATACATATTTAAAACGAGATAGCACTGTCATAATTCGAAGATAAGTAGCCACAAAGAGCCAGAAGTTTTAATGGATGACTCCACCTACACTTGAGTATTGGTTTTTGATATATCGTTCTATTTTTAATTAACTTCAAAAAAGTTTGGACAGTTTTTCTCAGAGCTCTGTGCCGATTTTTGTGATTCTATTTTTTTTAAACAACTTGTAATAGCGAACAGATAATTGACGTTATAAAAAGTAGTAAATATTGCTTATAGATATGAACAACAACATGGTATAACAGAATACGATAAAATTAAGACCATTTATGTCGACACTTGCCCAGTTGTGGCAACTTGGACTTTAATTGATTTTCAATTTTCAAAAACAATTTTCAACGTAAATAGAACTAAAAAATAATAATATAAACTTCACATAAATCTATCGCATTGGTATATTAGACAAACTTTATACTATGCTTCGAAGTTTTGAAATACTAATTTCACCTCCAAAATCTAAATTTTCATTGATCGATAAAAATTTTGACAAGAATAATTATTACATGATTAATATTTTAGTAAACTTCGAAAGAATCATCATTATCTCAGCCATTATCTGTCTACTGTTGAACATAAGCCTCCCCCATAGACTACCATAAGGAACAGTCTTGAGCTACCTGCATCCACCGACTCCCTACAATGAATTTGAAGTCGTCACTCCATCTAATGGGGGGTCGGTATATTAATGTTAATTCTCGTATTATAAATATTAAAGGTGGTCTTTGTGGTACTTTGCGTTTTTCTTATAAATCTATGTAGGTAGGCATTAGTAAATTATCCTACTTATTGTGACAAAGATAAACTGAATAGCTTACCCTTGAGAGCTAGACACAAACAACTTATAAAGCTATTTACCTATTATTACTTTAGGACAAAAATAGTACAGACCCACAGTACCCAAGTGAATAACCCGAACACTATTACCGATCTAAAAAAATCTATGACATAAATTATTCATTTTGATAGTAACAAAACACAATAGGGAATTGAAAGGATACATATTTACGCTAGATCCGAAACTAAATACCTGTGGTGTGAATTGAATATGATACGCAATGCAAACATAATAATTGGTATTGCATGTTATTTAAATTAACATTACTTTCATTTCCGTTCACATGTGTTTACCTGCTATAATTTTGAATGGATAATTGCTTATTTCATATTATGATAGTAAAATAGGACTATACGACGACTATACGACAAAAAGAAAATTGCACTTTGTTTTTTTTTTTTTTTACACGGCTGCAAAGGAATTGAAGGTAACGTTATTGAGTCCCATGATGTCTGTCAGACAAGGGGGTCAATTCTGAGGCCTTATGTATCAACCTATCTCTATAATATTTTCAGAGGCTCAATTTGATGTCATTTTTACTCTACAGACATGAACTAAATTTCTAACAGATTTAAGTCAAAACTGTATTATAAATTTTGTTAATGATGATCCATACAAAACAATAATTTTGCAATGCTATCAAATAAAAATAACTTATATATGTCTGCTTAAATAATTTGATACATTATTAAACAAGGCTTACGTTAGTAAGGTTAGTAAATAATCTTAAGCTACTTGACGAAAATATAAAATGAATATGACAATCATTTTTAATTTTTTTTATTTTCAATAATAATATACAATAAAACGTATCTAGCTTTGATCACCCAATCGTCAAAACTATAAGCTACTCACTTATTCATCTTCTAATACAAAATAATCTATTAGACTTTTATCCATAAATATTTATTAATAAGGTGTAAATCATTTAGAAACTTTGCATAAGATAAATAATACCTTTTGAGTTTAACACAAGTGACTAATTCAGTCTGTGAAAGCGCGAAATGTACTGTAAATCCAGATTAATGTGCATAAATGTAATTCTAGACTTAGCGAGTATTCCAAAATCATAACGGTTCGAAATGAGGCTCTTATTTCCACCACAATGTTCATTATGACTATCACACTGATATGACTATCATTTAATTAGATTGATTTGAGATTTAAACAATTTCAAAATCGATCTTTATAATTTTTTTTTTTTATTTTATTACACCCATTCCTCTAAATTGAATGCATAATCCACAGTTACCCTTTGAAAATAAATAACAAAAGTTTCTGGAACGTTGCCGGGCGGCTGGCGCGTGAAATACAGCTATCACCAACTTCGGCTCGCTAGGTAGCCATTTCCAAGAGTTCTCACGCGACTCTCTCACACAAATCTCGCTCGGTCGAATGCACAGTATCCGAATACTGTTTCGGTACTCGAGAAACATTGTTTCCGCATTAAAAAACGTTTATTTGTAGGAATTTTATACAATATACAAAAAATTGTGATAGTGAAAAGTAAATACTTTTTTTACAAAAAAATATCTACTATATCAAATTTTGTAACTAATTGAAAGATTAATTACATAAGATGTAATTAGATAAATTAGAATATTTTGTAAAATAAAAAATTAAATGTCATTACGATCGAAATAAAGATTTATTATTGTTTATTTATTATTATTTTACACCATTTCTTCAAAATCTGTTTCCATCATAATCATCTTTTTACGTATTTATTTGGAATAGATATAAAATATTTTTCTTTTTCGTTCGTCTTTATTTGTAGTTATCTTAATATTCACTCTATTATTATATTATCTTCTATTATATTAACTCTCTGGCCATTCCAATTTTTACATAGTCTGTCTAGTTCAATTTTTATTAATAAGGAGGTAATGGGATTACACTATCGAGCAAAGGCCTCGCCCAACTTTTTCCATTTCTCACGACCGCAGGCCAAGTAGTAGTAATTCTTAAAACCGGTCAAAATATTCTAATGTTCGTTTTAAATTTACCCCAAAAAGGAATCAGTCAACAATCTACATAATTATAAATATCAGTAGAGCGGAATTATTATTTAATATGTAATATGTGTAACTACCAAGTAAGCCGGGTCAAGCCGGACTCTACTAGCTGGTGCATACCTTTTAAAGCCGCATTAACTTCATAACAGCCTTTAATTGGCAATTAACAAATTATTTAAATGGTATTAAATTCTAGCTAAATACATTAGTATTTATATAAATAGCTTTTCCAAGTGAAAAGATATTTTCTTTATGTAATTCTAATACTTTAAACTTTGTGTTAATTACTAATCTTTTTCAATCGTCAACATACTTTTTGTCTGGAAGAGATTGCTTTAGCAATAAGACCGCCTTTTATACTACATGAGTGCAAAATACATATATTTATCGTTGTATTAAAGAGTAAATAAATAGTGATCATTTAGTATCTATTAGATTTTATTTATTTATTTATTAGTGTGTTCAACAGAAACTGTATCCTGCAAAATATAAATATGTTGGCAAAGCGCGCGTGACATACCTGGTGTGACGACCTATTTGATGGTAACTCCCTTTATCATCAGACGGGTCGTATGCTTCTTTGTCATTTTTGCATAAAAATATAAAAAAAAATAAACATAACAATCAATACTTAATAAAGAACACCAAACCCATAAACAGGTCAAATATCTTCGTTACAATAATAATAATAATTCTATACATTTTCCTATTTTATAGTGCCAAAGGTCAAATTACTGATTCATTTAAATTTGTGGGTACAGTCATGAATTCTTCTAGATACTTCAGTAACAATGTCAAGGTAAATTTTATATGCATAATAATACTATTTTCCTGTAAATAGGTTATCACTATTTATATGGAACGCCAAGTTATGATTAATTTTGCAATAACAACCAATTTTATAATACCTTGTTATAATTATACATGGACAGTCAGTAAAAAAGTTTTTATGTTATTTTCATAATGTTCGAGGACTTTTATTACAATATTACAGAAAGTTACTTCCATTTTCTTAACGTATACAATTAGAAAATAAATTGACAAAAAGAAAATGAATTGAATTATTTGAATAAAATGCCTATTCAGATTTATCACAAATTAACTAAAATCTTATCCTTCAAATCTATGTATTCGTATTATAAATATTATAATATTAAAATACTGCAACACACTTTAAGCCACAAAGATCGACTTCTTGTCTTTTAAATATATTCAAACTACCAATTTTTCTTTACACCTACAAGCATAAGTTATAAGTTTTGAATAAAATAAAGGTAGACATAATGTATTTCTGGGGAAATTATACCATTGTAAAAAAATATATTTACCTAGAATGAATGATCTGTGTTCACAATAAAAATATTGATATTTTTATTCCAACTGTACCGTCATAAAAGAGATCAATTCACCGCAAATTGCAGTTATAGTTCACAGGACGTATGTGGACACCGCGCTTTGAACACAAATACACAATCGTACGCAAAATTGATGGAAACCTCACCACAATAGGTCGTTGCAACATCCTGCAGTTCTAATAGTTCATATAACACTTATGCAAAAGCCGCACGCAAAGTCGTAATGCATACTTTATTAATCATACTGTTTACTGCTAAAATAGCATTAGCTCAAATAAGTGGTGAATTCTGGTGGTTAAATGATAGAGTGTCCAAATTAAAAGGAAAGGAAGCTCCATTACCCCAATTTGAAGATGTAAGTGAATTCGACACTGATGAATCAGATAAAATTGTGTTCAGAGATAATTTTAACGACAGTTGGAAACCAGCAATAGAGACGGTTAACTATAAAAATGAAACTAAAAATGAAAAGTGGAAAATAGACAGCAATTTTCAACATGAAAATAAAATATTTTGGCCAAGTGATGACAAGCTCATTAAAAATCTTAAGCTTAACAAAACAGATCTCACAGTAGAGATGGTTAAATATAAAAATGAAACTAAAAACGAAAAGTGGAAAATTGACGGCAATTTTCAACATGAAAACAAAATATTTTGGCCAAGTGATAACAAGCTAATAAAAAATCTTAAGCTTAACAAAACAGATCTCACAGTAAACATGGTTAAATATAAAAATGAAAGTAAAAACGAAAAGTGGAAAATTGACAACAATTTTCAATATGCAAATAAAATATTTTGGCCAACTGATGACAAACACAATAAAAGACTTAAGGTTAATAAAACAGATCTTACAGTCAGTAATGAATCAAAAATTAAAAGTGACGATGACGAATTTAATTTTCAATTCCCTGAAGATGATTCTACATGGAAAAATATAATAGATGAAAAGAAAACATCACTAGTTTTCAAACCAAATAAGACACCTACTCTGAACATATTTCAAGACTATATAGATATTAATACATTTAAAAACAAAGTGCCTTACTCTGAAAACATCTGTACTTATATGAAGAAAAATGAATGTTACCAAAGAAACGGTTTCGTTTATAAACAAAATAAAGAGTACGTATTTAATCTACATATTTAATTGTTATAATATTAATTTGGAATAAGTTAAAAATCAATATTTTGTTTTTCAGTCAAAATTTTAGAACTGCAAACGAATTGCAATATATCTGTTGTATATTACCTTTAAACGAAGATTCATCAAAAATTACCTTTCCCGACTCTTCATTAAAACTTCATAAACAGAACAAAAGATCTGCAAACAATTATGTGAACACAGCATTAGGCCAAAGAAACTTTTTATTGCAGCGTAAATATACAATACTGTCTAGTAATATCAAGAAAAACGAACAAAAAACCAAAATCACTGATGAAGATTATGAAGATCCGTATTGGAACATAAAGAATATACGTCCAAAAATACCAAATACATCAATTAAACCGGTAAATTTAAATAAGGATTGTCACATCGAGGATTACGTGGAAGACTATATTGTGGAATTACCAAAACCTGGGCTTTTTGGTATATATTCGGACCATAGACGACCTTCAGGGTGGACAGATCAAAATAAAAGACCATCTTATGGTGAAACTGTCGACGAATATGAGTATGATGATGAACCGGGAGGTTATTCTAGTACTATAGATCCGAGACGCGGCAAGTATTTCTTAAGTGTTAATTTTCCAGAAAATTTCTTTCAATTACAGACTCTTTTCTTTATTGTAGTAAGGTTTATACTCTTTATTGTTTTTAGGTAGTACCTCAAAATTGCCCAATCGTGGAAGACCATTAAAAATGTCAACACCTAATGAACCCGAATACAGACCTGAAAGCCAGACAGTCAGTTACACCTCTAATCCTGATTTTCAAGTATTACAAGGATTCAAGCTTCTTAATTTAGCCAGAAATAAAAACAAATTCTACTTAAATAATCCGAGAAAAAGTACGACTGAGAGCTTTGTCGAAAAAATTAGCGGAGAATCGTTAATTATAGACTCCAACGCGGATAATGGTAATCCAGATTTTATAGAGCGGCAGAAATTCAAGAATTGTGGAAAGGTGTTAATTAGTCCAAAGGACTTAAATGGTATTTACTAATATAATGCCTAATTAAATTTTATAATGACGACCTCCGTATCGGAGAGGGGAGGAATCGTTAGTATTGGGAGTGTTAGTCCCCAGTGCTAGTAGCATGCCTTGTCAGGTCGACCTACACGCGGTCCTCTCTGAAACCATCGTTGTAAATTTATAGTGAATTTACCACGACGGACCAACTGACTTATATACGCTATTATATACCGTTAGTATTAGCGGATGCCCTGTTCCATTTTCATCCAATAAAAAGACCTCCGTGGCGCAATAACCACATTGCTTTGCGTAGATGGATACTTGGATTACCAGTCGAATGTATTAATAGTTTACTTAAATCTATTTTTGTTTTTTATTTCTATTAATATTTTTCTTTATATTATTACTATGTTTAACTTTAACATATTAATATTCTTCATTAACTTATTAAATCTTTATACAATCATACAAACTTATTTTTACACAAAATTATTTTTTGATAATCGATATTCGAATTCAATATGGCAGATGGCGAGCGAAGTACATATGTATCTACATAATTTATATTTTTAACCATATTACAGAAAAGCAGATCGGAAATGCAGAGAATGGCTCGCATCCTTGGCTTGCTTTTGTGGTACGTTCAAAGCAACGACAGGGCATTTTATGTTACGCCACTATTATTCATCCCCGAGCTGCCATTACCACCGCGGATTGTGTATATGGGTACATATTTTACCAAACTAGGTGATATTTTGAGCTAGTCCATATTACTGGTTAGTCGGTTATTTTGTTTAATTAAGCAACCATTAGTATGTATTAAAGGTGAAACACAAACCGCAATATATGCGTGGACTGAATAGCGGTACAAGATTGATGACTAATATGGGAGATCGTAGAACATGTAATAATAATAGTAATCTTCAAATGTAGGCAGTCGCACACATACTAATGGTACCAGAATTAAACAAAATAATTATAATCGATAAACCAGACTATGGTTACGATTTTAAACTTTTGTTCTTAGAGCTTTTAACATTATAAACACCACATATTAATACACATTCATTTTGTAACCATAAAATAATTACGTTATTTCTAATCTTAATACGTATTTTCCTCTTATTGTTAAGAACATTTTCCGTGTCTTTTTTACAGAATTAATCCTGGCGATATTACAGTAGTTACCGGTGTATGGGATTTAAAAGACAGATCGCAGTCACAAAGCCGCACAACTGCATCAATTATACACCCACAGTACAAAGTTAATGATTTAAACCACAATATGGCAATTATTGTAAGTTTATTAGTAATATTTTTTTTTACTAAGCCTACTAAAAGAGAAACTTATCTTTATGTCTCATCCACAGAATACATAAAAAGTTTATTTAATTAAGATACTCTGTATCTAATAACGGTTTCATCTAATTCTACTACCAAGCACCGTGCTTGCTTGCTTTTTTTACAATTAAAAATGGAATAGTAACCGCGCCTGCGCTATCGATATACGCTAGTGAGGGAAGAATGAAGGATGATAGGTAATAATGAACTTAGGTCATTTACATCGTAACATAATGGGAATCAACGGGAATTAACCACCATAAATTTCAAGGTAGAAGTCGGCCTGACGAGATGTACTGCTATCAATTAAATTGCTATACCTGATTACTGGTAATTTCTCACACTCACACCTGGTTGTATGATGTGTTTAATATGAAGAATGACAGATAACAAAAAAAATACTGGATATAGGTACTGTGATTTCTACCATAGAGAATAACGATGACCCATACATGACGACTTAACTGACGTAATCAGATGGCGAGGGTTTTTTTTTTTAATGGATGATAATGGAATGGTAACCTCGTCTGCGCTATCGGTATACACCGGCGGGACAGCAGTGAAGTATGATACGTGAGGATAAAGCAGGTCAGTTAGCCCACCGTGACGAATCTAATAATAAATCAATCACGATGATTTCCAGGGGGACCCACGAGGAGGTCGACCTGACAGGGTATATTGCTAGGAATGGGGCTACTAATCCTCATTACTAACAATCCCTTCTCCCCCCCCCCCCCCCCTAGATGGCGAGGGTTTAGACCGGCCCCCCGCCACGACCGGGTAACCATGTAGCGTGAGACTCCCCCTACCATAGAGAAAGGAAATATTATAAACGAGGTTAAAAGCCCCATTATATCCTATAAGTTTCACCTCCACGTAGTTCTTCCTGAAAACCATCGTGGTTCATTCTTGTTGAATTTGTCAGTATGGATCAACTTACCCGCTTTCATCCACCTATCTACATTCACAGGAGTTCCGTCCGCGTATACCAATAACGCAGACGGTAATACCATTCCACTATCTCTTAAAAAATAAACTACCATACTACTACAGTAAACAAAATCGCTGTCGCAAAGGTCAGTAATGCGGGAGCGACATGTCTTAGCTTCCCATAATAATTGTATACTTCTTTTCGCATTTTTACAAAGAAAATGGTAAATGTAAATAATAGATATTATTGTTCATATATTATTCATAATTTTAGCATTGGAACCGACCACTGAGATTAGGTGTCAATGTGCAACCTGCTTGTCTCGGAGACGTGAGCACTGGTGAAGATTGCAAGCTATATGGATGGGGTGGATATGATCAAGGTAAGAATATTTTCATATTGTTCCCAATAATATCTAATATTATAAATGCGAAATTTTGTTATAAGTACCTATTATATAATTATAATAAGTGTAAGTGATAGATATTGCCATACATTTACATTAACGGCCTGGTCCTCGTTGCGATACCCTGTGAGGAATTAGGAGACAAACATCTGGTAATACTATTCTGAATACCCAGATCCAGATCTGAAAAGCTCGTATCCTAAACTGGCACGACCGAGAATCGAACCCAAAAGCTCATTTACGCATTTAAGTTTCAATATTTCTTATCAGGTAAGTCATATCCTAAATTAATATATGGAATACTTCTACTGGAACTCTCGCAGAAAAAAGCAGCGGGACATGCTAGTAAATAAAAATAAATAATAATCAATTTTTTAATAAAATTGTTGCTAATGTATCTAAATATTACGAATCTAACAAATGTAGGTTTTGATTGCCCAAGCAATTTCGTTATTCTTATGGAATTATAAAATTGTAAAGCGAAGTCGTTGTAATATTAAAATCAAACGGTAATCAATAAACAAAATTTCCAATAATTTGATTACACTTCCCTAAACTCTTTGCTTAATATAAAATTTGCAGTATAACAATATATATATTATTAATATATGATCTATCCAAAAATAGCAATTCATTCCCGTTCACGATGGCAAAGGGCCTCGATCTTGACGACGCAGGAATGCCGTGCTCGCCTCTCGTCTTTATCTGATAAACGACGAGTGAACCTTTCAAATGAAGTTTTTTGTGCTTCTGTGCAAGCTCGAGGCACTGTGGTAAGTATTACAAAATTTATTAGAATAAAATGTCCTTCAATAAAAAAATGTCACCCTTGGTTTACACTATGTGCAATGTGCACATAGTGTAAACCAAGGAAAAAGGAGTTCCAAGGAAAATGATAATACAGAGTGAAATCGCACTCATCAGCATCTTTTTATGACAATGACCCTAATCATTGAAACTAAACGCTTTAACTAAGTCCAAAACCATATAAAAAATTTAATACTCTCATACTAACACGGCGCGTCCAACTATCAAGATATTTTGGAAGGTTAAAAATTGTTAATCTATTTTCAACTTGTGTATTTAAAAGAAATACAATTTCACTAGTAGAGAATAATTTATTATGTATACCTATTGTATTTTTTTTTTCTTTTATTAGACAGGAATTGGCGGTCCATTGATATGCAGTGTGGAAGACCGCTATACACTAGTCGGCGTGGCAGCATGGCGTGACACGATCCTTGTAATGCTACCTGCATACGAATGGGCAATACCAACTTTAGAAACCCTATATGATTAAAACTTACTAGTTTTTAGTTTTATAATAAATACATATGATATTCATATATAGATTTTATATTATAAAAGTAAGTTACGCAATTTACACTAATAGATCTTTATTAGAAACTTAACAATTTATTGTTATACTGATTTTATTCAAATATGAAGTACAGACTCTACGAGTGATTAATTATTACGAAATTGAAAGAAATTTAAAACAGGCGAGATTTAAATCCACACCTTATATATATAGAACACCACTGGCTCGCCATGGTATATATACCATGGCGAGTCAGTGGTGTGCTTCTGATTCACCAGCAGCCCAACTTGGCCTACTGAATTTCCATGTGGTCCTGATCAATATCAATGAAATGATCTTAAACGTTATCAGAATAACTCAGGCGAACTTATCCTTTGATGAGATATCTTCCAATCTACCTTTAGAATCCGAAAGGAGAAAGTATATATAGTTTGTACATAAATCATAACATATATGGTGTAAAAATAATATGATAAATAATAAATGTTTAATAAAAGTCAAGTTTCATTTTGTAATCATAGTTTTATTTTTTATTTGTTTATATTTACGCATGTACTTATCAGCCCACAACATAAATTTAATAATACACAATCACTTTATATAAAACGCGGCTCTACAAATTTGGTTATAGGAACTAAACACTTAAACTATTCACGAATACATTGGGAATGTGGAGATGCTATAACATGAAATATAATTATACACATAAATTTTCAACATGGACTCTACATTTAGTAGGTATTCTATATTTGAACTTATTATTTATGCATATGGATTATATTTTCTTTGGTGTCCAACATTAATTAAAAAAGAGATAGTTGCGGTCATACTGTTTTACCTACATAATAAAAAAAAAAAAATATATCAAAATGAGCAAGCACAATAAAGTCTAACATAATATTATAACAAGTCTTACGATTTACAGCCAAAATAACGTTTGCTTTTGTTTTTGGTTTAAAAACGCGTTCCGATGTTGTGTGGGTGAACACAGATTTTCGCCCGTTGGCAATTCTTAATGTCGGTCAAACAGATTCAATGTAGAAACTCTAATTCTATACTAGATAACAGCCATCTTAGTTAAACGAACATATCGAGATACTTTACCGCTAATGCGCTCATGAGCTAGAACAAGGCAGCAACATCCGACGTTTTATTCTGTCTCACGCGTGCGTTGACGAAAACGTATGTATCGATAAATTCGATTCGCATGCAAACCGAGCGAAATTATGTGTTGCCCCATCGTTAAAGTAAAATACGCTTTATAAGTTATAACTAAACATTATTAATAACATAATAATACTCTGAGCGCGTTCGTAAACAGTATCAACGTAGTATTATAAACTAACAAATTGTTTGCACTGCAGTCGACGTCAATTTTATTCTTTTTTTTTTATATACATATATATAAAAATAAAACAAAAATTTAACTAAATTTCACTCAATTTTCATTTGTGACTAAACGTGACTGGCAATGCAATTTCAATTTATATATTTTTAAAACTAATTCTACGGTCTCGGTGTAAGGCTATGCAACAGCTTTAGCAATAGATTTTCGTCTGATTTAAACAAGCAAAACAAAATAATAAGTCGAATAAAGGCGCGTAGTCACTTACAACAATACGTCAATACTTATACTACATTTTGGTGACATTGAAATCGATTCCAGAAGCGGTATTATTTGCAAAATCAAATTAAAGAAATAAAATAATAATTAAATTTATAACAGGATTTTGCCAAGACTAATTTAAATTCAGTTCTTGGCGGTCCGTAAACGAACTTTTTTGTACTTTCAATAAACAAAATAAAATTTTGAAATTTTTATCCTAGCTCTGCGGACCTATATTTATCGTAAAAACAAAGCATCTACAACTTACTGTATACGACTGTAGATACTTTACGAACAAGCCAGAAAGTTACCTTTGTGTAGCAGGCAATCAGAACGACATAAGAAGAGCCGCATGAATGGCAACGCATGGGGGGTATCATGGGCGAAACAATATAGTCTGTTATATCCATGGTACTGCTCATGTCTATAGGCGACGGTTACCACTTTCCATCAGGTGGGCCGTCAGCTTGTTTACCATTCTAAGTTGCAAAAAAAAAGAGCCGCAATAACCTAAGATTTCAACTAAATTAATACAACACATTTTGTTATTGTGAACCGATATACCGAGAACGTAGAAAGAACCGCGACACGATGAAACAATAAATATAAAATACTATAGGTTATGACAAGATCAATGTTAACATCACAGAGCCGGCGCTCACGCAATCACCAGGGGCTCGTCGTCCGAGAAGCCCTGGATGGGAGGTACGTCGTCGTCATCTGGAAGGAAAAATAAATCGTATAAAACCAAACAAAAACTGGTTAAACTATGGAAATGGGTTCGGTAATGACTAATAAAAAACCCTATTTAAACTATGAAGATCCGCTATAGTTGGGGACATACTGACATTAGTAAAAATAAAGGTCATAAATTAGAATAAAAATATTTTTTTACTCTAGTAAAAATAATTGTAAATATTTTTAAATTGTCACTTTTTGATTCTACAACCCATTTAGAATGCAAATTCAGCTAAGAACAGACAAAAAAACTCGACTAACCTGAATAAGCAGTGTATTGACTTGGTAGTAAATGACAAGGACTTGTTTAATACTTATTGGTTTAATTACAGAGACCGACATTAGTACAATGGTGACGACATATATGAGAGAGGACGCGACAATAGTGATGCGCCGTTCCATTAGTGATGTGACCTTAACTACTTAAATCTATATTCATAACAAGCAGTATATGAGAATAATAGTGAGTCGAATGCGTGTGCGAGTGAGTAAGTGGCATGTACAAGTATATGACCTCTCACAAAGTAACAGAATGAATCAATATGAATAAATGACTATTGAATAATGATCATGAATGACATATACGACAATATAGAGAATGATACGCAAATACATGGCATGTATTGGATTGCGAAACACTGATATTGGCCACAACAGAATATCAGTGTTTTGCTCTTTTAAGGGCAAAGCAATAAACTGAGTTGTGACCATTTTGTGTTACTATGGCACACGCATGAAGGAAGGGAAAGAAAGGAGATTTTTAGTTTATATATATTTTTTTTATTTTCATTCATCTCTTTTACTGTGTATTATGTGTATATTTTTTTTTAATGTAACTTGTGTGCTGTAAGTAATGTAAATAAATCATCTATCTATCTATAGACGAGTAAGCGTGAGCGAGCCTTAAGCGCGCGCACGCGCGTGTTAGTGTGTGTATGGAGGATTGAACGGTACGTATGTGTGCGTACGAGTGTGTGTCGGACAATACTGCGTATATGTACCGTGGTCGCCGAGCGTGGCCTGTCCGCGGCGGCTGTCGTAGCGCGGCGTGTGCGGCGCGTGCGGCGCGTGCGGGCCGGCGCGCCGCCAGCGGCCGCGCGCCGCGCGCGCCGCCAGCAGCAGCGCCACCAGCGCCAGCGCGCCGCCCGCCGCGCCCGCCCACCACACCGCGCTCACCGCGCTCGACCCGGGCCTCTCCAAACCTGCCGCATTCGGGGAAAAAGGATAAACAATGCGTCTACAGTCTACCTGTTGCTAGCGGGAAGGAGTTGTTAGTAATGAGGCCTAATAGCCCCGTTGCTAGCAATTGACCCTCTCAGATCGACCTCCACGCGGTCCCCCCTGGAAACCGTCATGGCTAATTCTTGTCGAATGGACCAATTGACCTGCATTTATTCTCATCTATCATCTTCTACTGGTGCCTCGTCGGTGTATATAGATAATGCGGGCGGGGTTACCATTCCATTTTCATCTATTAAAAAAAAAACCATTGCTAGCCCTATGGGGTTGACCTCTACGCGGTTCCTCTTGAAAACCATCGTGGTTAATTCTAATGTAATTCATCACGATGAGCTAACTGACCTGCTCTCATCTTCACCTATCATCCCACACTAGTGCCCCGCCAGCGTATATCGATAGCGCAGGCGGGGTTACCAATCCATTATCACCTATTAAAAAAAACATGCCGCATTCAACATTCACTTGCTATAGTTTTTATTTATCCCATTGAAGATGGCAAACGAACGATATCCATACAGCTATGTCTAATAAATTAATATTTTTCAGTGATGAATCTCAGCTTTGATTCAATTATATTTTATTCGCCATCTAGGCTGAATATATCAAACATAATGTAAAAAAGCGATATGCGCTTATATGTAAAATATAAACAATTTAGAATTATTCAGAACAGTTCAAATTAAGCGCTTGCTATTTATCATTATACAATGTTGCATTTATTTTTTGTACTACTTAGTACAATACAATACTGACCATCCACGGCTATGGTGCGGATTTCACTGAGATCGCTTTGGCGGCCGTCGGCTGCAACGGCTCGCACGCTTACATACAGCGGGCCGTTGCTGGGCGCTGGTACTATTAGCGGTGACTGGTCCGTGAACACTGACTTCATATCCTCGCTCGGCTGGACCAAGTCGTCGGGAATCTCCTTCTCTGATATTATCACTTGGTACTTGGGCCTGAAGAGAATAAAATTAATTTATAAAATTATACCTCTTGTTTTACATCATCATCATTATAACAGACTTTAACTTTCCACTGCTAAATATAGGATTCCCTTCATAAGGTATTTCTTTTGCCATTTGCCAGTAGTTGCCATGCTTGGCGGACGGATTGGCAACAAGTAGTTAGGATTTGGTGATGTTTTAATAGAGATACTGACTGAATTCGACTGACTGCACTTATTTTACATATGTTGTTAATATTTATGTTAAAAATCCCATTTCGCTTAAGTTCGTTCACCCTAAGTCACGAAACTGCATAACGATTTTTAGTCCAGTTTGAGACATTTCACTGCGATAAAAAATTAAAATCGAATCGTTTTTATTTTTCAACATAGATTATATTGAAAAATAAAAACGATACAAAATCTTACGGATATAATTAACAAAACAGCTTTACTAAATACTTTGAATTATATAGGAGTATAGACATAAAATATGTTTTCATATTTAAATCACTGAAAATAGCTGATACTTGAATTAATATATGTATTTTAATTTGTAAGTAATATGTACCTTTATATTATAATAATAAAAAATAGTTTTCAATTCAAATTTAAAATATCATCGACTTGATCTGGGAAATATTTAATCCAATTACTGGCAACATTGGAAAAAAGATTTGTATTGATTTAAAAAAAAAAAAAAACTTCAAACGTCAAATCAGTTGATGTTTTTGATATTCGGTGCTCTATCTATATAATCAAGATTAACACTAACAACGGTGCGTCCGACGGCGGTGCATCGTCCTTCCAGCTGACCATGAGGTGTCCGTCTGTGAGAAGCGCTAGTAGAGCTCGCGGCGCGGGGATAGCGCCGCAGCGGCCAACCGTGCACGCCGCACCCGACCATACGGCTCCCGATGTCGCTCTAGGAGTTGTCCCCGTAAAGCCACCGCTAGCTCCTGCGCTTTGTCCTGCCTGTCACATTACAATATGGTCGTTTACTAATTACCCTTAGACATTTGATATTAGAATTATTTTGTTTAATTCCGTTACCATAAAATAAACAAAATAATTCTAATTGTGATTACCTGTGACATGCATGGCTGTGTTTCGGTTTGAAGGGTGATATGGCGTGAATTTACAGGGTACATAGAAGTAACACCCGAGTCCTCAGGAATGGCAACGCATGGGGGATATCATGGGCGAAACAGTATACTCTGTTATGTCCATGGTACTGCTCATGTCTATAGGCGACGATTACCACTTTCCGTCAGGTGGGCTGTCAGCTTGTTTGCCATTCTAAGTTGTATAAAAAAAATGCATAGTGACTCCTAGTTCAGTAAAATACCCTTGAACAGACATCACCATCATGGAGAGAATTGATTAGTAATTAGATGTTTAGATTTTATGAGATTATTAGTATAGATTAGTAGGAGCCCCATTAATAGATATATACCCCTTATCAAGTGGACATCTAGACAGTTCCCCCTGGAAATGATCATGGTTTATTCTTAATAGATTCGTTCGGACAACTGACCTGCTTACATTCTCATCTATATCTTCCCTCGCTGGTGCCTTACCAACATATACTAATAAACAGTATTCCATTATCAAGCAATCAAAACAACATTATACCGCAGTATTGTAGGATTAAGATCATAATTATATATTAATAATAATAATATAAAATAAGGATATTTTTGTATGCCGTACAGGCTAAACATGTCGAACGTTATTATATTGTCAACATCTGCATGTATTTATACGCATGTTTTACAAATAAATAAATCTTGAATCTTAAAGGACTAACTGCCCCAATGCTAACAATACATGCTGACAAGTTTTTTAAGTAATACTCATGAAAATGTTAATAATACATATACACAATATATAATACAACATGTACGTATATACACTACATATTTACATTTATTTATATCACACTATCTTACCCACTCATACATTTGTACCTCTTTACAATTGGTGACCATGAATTTGTATTATTTAATCATTGCTCTCAATATCTGAACTTTAGCAACATGGATTTTAATTATTTTATATATCAATTAACCTAACTTTATGGACACTCATTATTATATATGGTTTCTTTCATACTTGTGCTTCTATTACTTGCATACACCCACCCACTCTATCTTGCTTACCTCACTTTTGAATAGTAATTTTTATTTGTATAAATAAAATCCGTTATTGGCTGTATTCATAAGAGACTTAGCATGTAAGGTATTTTTTAAGAGCTGTGGATTTTTTTATAAAATAAAAAAAAAAATAACAATTTATTTGCCAGGAACATAACTAATCTTAGCCCATCTTGACAAATTCACTAGCAATTAGTTAAGCCTCCTCCACATTTAATCAATTCCTACAAGCTCACCAGTTCCTACTAATATAATAATACACTAATATAATAATACACTAATACTCTAATATTACTTACTGAAACGCAAATGTTGTATTTCCCTCCAACGGGCACGTTTTCAATGACATGATGCACATTGATTTGACTCTTCGGCTTCAGTTCGTAGTAGCTTGTTTTGTCTAGCACTTCATCTTTTATTTCCAACTAGAAATAAGATTATTAATAACAATTAAGTACACAATTTTCGTAACACAATTATTTAGTAAAATTTAACAATTATAATTATTATATAAATACTATATTATATATAAAGTAAACTACATAAATAAAAGCTAAATTCCATTGGCTGAATTGAATTATCACGATATTTTAATAGTAAACAAAAATAATATTTTTTATTCAAGTAAACTTAACAATAAGCATTTTTGAATAGTCATTTTTTTATTAATCAACTGCCCACCAGTTCGAAAAACAATTTCAGGTGAGAAGAATGGACGAGAAACATAGGTGTTGCTTTTTTAAAACTATTACTGTAAATGTAGTATAAACTCAGCAGGTATATTTCCACACCAGAATCTTGATAATACCACAAACCTCCTTAACCAGGTGGTAAAAGAAACTATGGATAGGTATGCAATAAAACAATTCTTATTCTGTGATTTTCTGACCCATTACACAAATATTTACTAATATATATAAATTGAGTTTCTTACTATGTACTTTAATAATGAAATTTGATTTAGGTTGAGAAGGACGTGGGATACTTTTTATCGTGTATCGTGGAATTTAAAAACTAAAGATATCATTTTGTTAGTTATTTGATAACAATTATTTAATTTCGCTATTATAAAATTAATTAATTAATTCTAATCAAACAACCAGTGGTATGGACTTCCGCAAGATAACACCAAGTTCAGTAAAATAAATAAATAATTTACCCTGTATGGCACAGGCTCTCTGAGCACGTCGCAGTTTGCAAACCAGAAGATGTAGAGTTCAGATGTTAGCTTATTGTAGCTAGCATGGAGGTTCTTCACTGGAGCCCTAAAATGTATACCATACAATACAATACTATTATTATCGGGAGGCAAGGGATTGTTAGTAATGGAGATTGAGAATCCCATTGCTAGCAATATACCCAACCAGGTCGACCTCCTCGCGGTTCTCCCTGGAAACTATCATGGTTAATTCCTGATGAATTCATCATGATGGGCTAACTGGCCTGTTTTCATTCTCATCTATCACCTTTCATTGGTGCTCCGCCAGCGTATCCCGTTAGCGCAGGCGGGGTTACCATACCATTTTCACCCATCAAAAAAAAAATACTATTAATATCGTATTATATCTAAATTACAGTATGAAATTAGCAGCATGGAACCAATTTATTTTTTAAAGAGATAAACGACGGTCCACCTGATGGAAAGCGGCTACCATCGCCCATGAACACTTGCAACACGAGAGAAGTTGCTTGTGCGTTGCCGGCCTTTAAAATTTCTAATCATCGAAAGTTGTATATTATCACTAAAAAGTTACTATTAATATGCATTCTTTTTGTTTTGTATTAATAAAAAAAAAAAAAAACACCAATATTAACAAGATTAAGTTTCGGAAAAATAGATTCTTCATGTAACCACCATAATAAATACTAGTAATATTATTTTAACGTTGTATAACCATAGTCTAGTATGTTCTCAATCTGTTGGCTTCTGCCTCTGAAATACAGACTGCCGTTTAGTTCAGAGACGGTTGTCACAGGTGGTATAAATAAAAATGCTCCTAATGTTGTACCTAGTTACTGTATTTCGATTTGATTAATGTATTATTATGAATTGATTGATGATAGTAATAATTCATTTTGGAATCTGTATTCTGGTGTGTATCCCGTATCAATATTATCACAATTCACAGACTTTTTTTTATAAAATAAAATCATAAACTCCTCATGAAAATAGTTGTATGTATGTCATTTATAATATATATCTTTAATACAAACTGCATCACACATATTAGACAAAGTTAATAATTACATAGGAGTATGTACTTGTAAACAAAAGGAATTACGAATTTTCAATAAAACTTACTTTGGATCTCCTCTGGTAACGATCTCAACAAACTTAGACAGTGGCCCACCGAGTAATCCAACAGCAAAAACGTAGCTTTCACACGATTCTAATCCTTCCACCGTCACGGTATTATTTTTCGTTACGATTTTTGTATCTGTTAAAAAAAAAAAAGAAAACCATATCAATTATATCCGTATACATATATTTATTTATTACATAATGTACAGCTTTTTACGTCAATTACGGATTTGCAATATTTTATTTTATTTTCATTTTATTTTACTTTAAAAGGAAAACATACAATACCTGAGACATATAAAAGTGGTATACACAGCCATAACGTAAATCAGTAAAGTTTCCACAATAAACCAAACCAAATAATCGAGAGCAGATGACTAACATAAAAATATATATAATAAATATACATACACACACATATATATATACTTGACAATAAAAAAATCATCATATCAGTTATCATCATCATAACTGCCAACTGCTGCTCTCCCATAAGAGGGGTTTTGTCAATAGTTGCCACGCCTGGCAGACGGTTTGACCGCTGTTAGGCGTGATATTTTAAGAGGGACGCTGCTGCCCATCCCTCAATCGTTAAGTTCCATTTGTCGCCTCTTACGACACCCATTTAAATATATTCCTTATTAAACAATTATATAAATTCCATATCATTGATAAATCCTAATATCTTATTTATTAGGCTTTCTATAACGTATGCTATTATTAGGATATTATTATATCTTACTTATCATGCTATTTCTCTGCTCAATTCTCTGATTGCTCCGCAGACAGATATTGATATATTTAATGACAAGATAGATATATTTTTAAAATGTTGTTCAAAATTTTTAAGTTTATAAAATAAACCTATTGCTCACTACACATTTTGGGATACTGTAAGTGTGATAAGTAATTTATAAATAAATAAATAAATATTAATAAAACTGTATCAACTATCAAAAACATTAGTTTCATGTGTAAAAGACTTGACATTTAGTCATCAAACACAGTTGAACAGCTGAATAGATTCGAATGAAATTCGGTAAATGTACCTAGAATTAAAGCATATTAATACTTTATATATATTCCGTAAACTGTACGTTTTGGTCACATATATGAAATCGTATGTACAGCGATAAGGTATATAGAGAAAAAAAAAATCATAAAACATGTCTCACCATTACTAAGTCCTCCTGGCATTCGCCTCTGCATAGCCTTAATGTAATGCACTTCATATTCAAGCGTTTTGTTCTTGTATCTGTCTCCAAGGGGTGGTGACCACGTCAATTGCACCGAAGTACCCTTTTCTTTCAGCAGCATTGCGGTCAAATTGAGCGTCTCATCTGCCTCGCCAGTAGTACGCAGCGGTATCGTGAATGGATCGCCATATATGTTGTTTTTGAACGCCCTAATATCAATGAATAGGTCCACACCGGGCGGCAGATTCGTTACTGTAATTAAAATGACATTTAAATTTTATCTTCTATATTATTATTATTATTATTACTTATAATAATAATCTATACTTATAATAAATCTGTAGAGAGGTCAATTCTGTACCTGAAATATATTTTCAAAATAACTATCAGGGGGTGAGTAGTGATCGATAGTGATGCTAAAAATGCAATCAGTAAAATTTTTGTCTGTATGTTTGTTATAGAAACAAAAACTACTCGACGGATTTTAACGAAACTTGGTACAATTATTCTTCATACTCCTGGGCAGGTTATAGTATAGTTTTCATCACGCTACGCTTTAAGTGCATCTCTCGCCCTTTCTTAGTAGCCTCTTACAACATCTACGAAAAAGGAAGGAGTGGCCTATTCTATGCGGGACCACACGGCCACATTTTTCACATAACTAGCTGCAAATAGTAGGTACATTACCAGTAGCGTGGTCGTCCTTGGTGACTATGGGCGGTCGCCGCGCATAGGGCGCGGGCAGCCGCACCTGCAGCTGGTAGCCGTCCACGGCGCGGATGTGGTGCCAGTGCAGCTCGGCGCGGTCAGGGCTGGGCCGCGCTACGCTCACGTTGGCCAGCTCGTCCACGTCGCCGGGCTCCTCGAACGTTATGTTCATCACCGTCGATGATGGGGACGTCGACGCGCCGTTCGTCGCCGTCATCTGGGTAAACAAAAAAAAAATATTGCAACTTTATCTGAATCTTTTTAAGATTATGTTACATCATCAATTCTAATCCAATTTTGATAATTATTTGGTTGTTAAACATTGTATTTACTCTCATATTGGATCCATATTAATTTAATTGCTATACATAATATATCGTCACTCATTAGTGTGTTTATTATGATTAAAACCACTATTTTTATGAGAAGTAAAATGTACTTATATGTGTATAAATGTGACAGTTGCGTAACCATATATACAATGAAAGGAACGAAAATTCAATATCAATAAAATGTTTTTAACCGTCACGTGGACTGACAGCATAATTATAATTCTAAATCCTTTAAAAAAACCTCACCCAGAAAGAATAAGTGATGTTTGGCTTGAAGAATCCCTTGACGTTAATGGTGAGGTCGTCGGGCGATATGTCGTGTTGCATGGGCGGCAGCGGCGGCGCGTAGTACAGCGTGTAGTGGTGCAGGCGGCCGCGCGGCTCCAGCGGCGCGTCCCAGCGGACGTTGACCCGCCGCCCGACCAGTTGGCTCACCGACACGCGCCGCGGCGGCGACGGCACTGACAACCAAACGTCCATACTGATACTTTATGAAGCGGGAGGAGAAGTGAATTACTTGTAAAAGGAAGTAACTGATCTATTGCTAGTAATATTTATAGTCATTAGTCATTTATTCAAAAAACAATGCACATTGTATCTGAAATTAAGTATGATCATAAAAAAGCATTATATTAAATTGAATATTACAAGTATTGAATAACAATTATAAATATATTTTGCAATCAACAATGTCAACTTCATCCATAATATATATATATGTCAAATTTATTTTTAAATTCTGATATTTACGTTAATCACCAATACAAAAGTAATTAACGTAGTAATAGCATTTTTCCAATAAAAGGGATGGCAGTTTAATTTTAAAAGAATTTAAGATTATGTACAGTTTTCAACTGGACAGATAATTTATTAAATAATATTCATCATTACCTTATCAGCCATTAACTATCTACTTTTGAACATAGGCCTCTCCCTCAGGTATCAGATCTATTACTGGTATTCCAGACTGGCTTATCATTCCATTTTCATAAATAGAAAAAGTAACCTGTATGATACATGCAGATACTTCGTACACATTGTCTTATACTAATAAATAATTTATAAAGAAAGACAACTCACCTCCTTCGCCTGTGGTCATATTCACGTATTTCAACGACGCGTATGTTCTATTAGATTTACTGTCTTGTATGTAGAATGTGACGTTATAGTTTGTGTATGGCTCCAAGTTTGTGAACCTATAAGAAATATAATTAATTAAATTGTGAACAATTTGAAAGTAGTTTTTAATCATTAGTTTTATTTCTAATAAAACTCATCAAATTTCTAACAAAACTCAAAAATCACTGAAATACTGCAGATGGTTAAGAAACAAAAAAACATTATTGCTATAATACATAAATTGTACTCGTAATATTCGACATAGTTTCTTGAATATAATAAATTTAAAAGCTTTTAAATTAAGAATTTAAATCAAAAGAAAGAGATGCAAAACTACAACAGATCAAAAAGGTTTATTAGATTATTTAAAAAGTATGTAATACACACAAAAAGATATCCTTTTATATTTATTTTCCATACCTATAAATACTATCATTAGTCCAAGTCATGTTGCGCCACACACCATCTTCGACTTTTGATATCGAAGGTAAGAAACTATACTTCACCAGCTTCTGCTGGGCCATCCAACACGAGATCAGGAAACTGGTCGAGTTAATCGTCGACTGGTCCACGCCGAGACTAAGGAACTGAGAAATTTTATGGTTAAAATAAATATACACAACAGAATATCAGTGTTTTGCTCTTTTGAGGGCAAAACAATAAACTGAGTTGTGACCATTTTGTATTACTATGGTACACGAATGAAAGAAAAAAATTGTTAATTATTTTATATATTTTGCTTTTTATTTTGTATATGCATTCTTTTATCTCTTTTTACTATGTATGTCTGTTATTATTTGGGTGCTGTAAGTAAAGCAAATAAATTTTATATCTATCTATCTATATAAATGTTATAGTTAAGTTCTTCGGTAATGGCAATAAATAAGGGATCACTTCTGACATTCCTTGTAATGTATTATTTAAAATTTACGACTAATAGTTAACATCAGATAGTTCATCAGCTTGTACGCCTTTCAATGTTTCAAAACAATAACTTTCAATAAGCGATCACATTAAAAATTGCTTATAAAATATGGACTCTCACTGCGAGCCTTATACATAAAGTGTAACTCACACAGACAACTAAGCATAGAATATGAAATATGGTCACCAAGAACAATACTTGAGTTACTAACATGGAACACTAGGTTACTAATCTGAAATGATATGACTAGTTATAAATACGACGTCAGATGGAACAAATGCATGTTGGTGTAAGACCAAAAGCAGTTTAGACATACCATCTGTCTGATGGTATACCAATAGGTCAGATGGAGATACCATTAATTTTCATCTCATAAAAAAAGGATGGATTACTCCATGTTTCGATCGTGGCTACCGTCGCGCGGCTGGCTGTGCTGTGGCGTACCTGGTAGGCGGGCGGCGGCAGGCGGTCGGGCGGGCAGTCGAGCTCGTCGCTGCCGTCGCGGCAGTCGGCGCGGCCGTCGCACAGCGCCGAGCGCGCCACGCAGCGAGCGCCGCCGTCGCAGGCCTGCGTGCCGCTCGGACACGCCGCCGCCGGCTGCTTCTAAACATTACCACACCATTCAGACTGGGACGAGACTGCTAGCAACAGGGACACTAAGGTCCATTTCCAACAACATACTCAGGTTCCCCTAAAAACCTACGTGGTTTGATTTCTAGTGAATCTACAGTAATAGCCCAAGTAACTTGCCTTCTGCCTCACTGTTTAGAGATAATTGATATTTCCGCTATTATACGCTAGCGAGGCACCAGCGAAGGATGACAAACGAGGCCAGCATAGCGCAGGCGGAATTACAATATAATTCCATTATTATTCATTAAAAAATGTACAATACAACGATACAATCTATTTTGTTTTATCAGTATACTCGTATTTAACTTACCAAATCAAACAGAAATTATAAGCATAAGACATCGATGGAAATAAATTTCATTTTATAGACCATTTTAAATTTTATATACAATAATGACAGATTTATTAAGTAGTTACGTAATGAATGAATATTGATTGATTACACAAATGCTCGTGACAAATTTCTCGACTATTCCAATACATACCGCAACGGGTTCGCAGTGTAGCTCATCACTGCGATCTTCACACTGCGGCACACCATCGCAGAGCTGGTCGTCTCGCACACAGCCGCGGCCATCAGCACACGGCGCCTCGTGAGCGGAACACGAAGTCGCTTCCGCGCCCGCGCCCGCTCCCGCTCGTCGCTCGCAGCTGCTCGGCTGCTCGTCCGCGCCGTCCACGCAATCCGCCATCGAGTCGCATACCCACGTTAGCGGAATGCATACGCCTGTGAAATTTTAATAATAAGCATGATTGTCGGACACTTGGTGGAACTTTGAACATACGAGGTCTGTCCGGAAAGTTCGTATAAAAGTGTTCTGGAATGCGAGAAAGAGGAGTGGGGAGGCCAGGTAAGCGCAGGACCCCTTCCTTATGTCCCTAACAATGCTTCAGTTCTGGTCTGACCGCCGTGCGGTGCGAACTGGCTTGTCACGCCATCTGTGAAGTTACCTCTTAACGAAACCCCGTCGGCATGGAGCCCGCTTCCGTTGAAGAGCAGCGCGTCGTAATCAAGTTTCTCTCGAAACTCGGCAAGAATGGCCGTGAAATTTTTGCCGATCTCAGAACAGTTTATGGGGATGATGCTGTGAAGGAACCAACCGTCCACAAGTGGCTAAAAAGATTCAGAGAGGGCCGAGAAAGCGTTCAAGATGACCCACGTTCAGGACGTCCTTCCACTTCACATTCCGACGAACACAGGCCAGACAGTTGATGGAAAATTCTACGTCGATGTGCTCAGACGCCTCAAAGCTCGTGTGGCACGAGTTCGTCCAGAATTGGCGCGAGAGGGGCGTTGGATTCTTCACCACGACAATGCCCCTGCCCACACCTCTCTTGTTGTCCGTGAGTTTTTGAGTAAAAATTCCATTACGGTGACCGAACACCCCCCCCTATTCGCCGGATTTGGCCCCGTGTGACTTCTTCTTGTTCCCAAAAACCAAATTGGTACTTCGGGGGCGGCATTTGGGGGACATAAATGAGATAAAAAAAGCTACGACGGGGCAGCTGAGAAACCTACAACCAGAGGACTTTCAAGGAGCCTTCTCACAGTGGAAACGGCGTTGGCACAAGTGCATTATGTCACAGGGGGAGTACTTTGAAGGGGATAAAATTGATTTACCTGAATAATTGTAAAATAAAATTTTTAAAAAACTTTTATACGTACTTTCCGGACAAACCTCGTATATCTAAGTAGTAAGGGAGTAATATAAATTTTTTTAACATTTTAACTTGCGACTAATATTGCATCTCGCTCTCCCTCCTCTATGAAAATTAAGATGAAATTGATAAAGAGATGTTTACGTCAACAACATTTCTTCATATATTCATCTCTTTTTTTCAATTTATTATTTCATTCAATATCACTACATAGTATAAAGTCGCTGTCGCTGTCTGTCCGTCTCTATGTATGCTTAAATCTTTAAAACTACGCAACGGATTTTGAAGTAGTTTTTTTAATAGATAGAGTGATTCAAGAGGAAGGTTTATATGTATAATATAGTAGAGAAACACTGATAATTTTAATGAAACAAAGCTCAATCAGCAACAAAAATCAGGCATATAGATTGCATACTAACCTGGTGAACAAGTGAACTGATTCTTCCCGCATTTGATCGAAGGATGTTGATCGGAGGGTATCACAGTTGTATCCGTGGAGCCACAGCCGATTTCATCAGAGAAATCATTGCAGTCATCAACTCCATCACACCTCCACCAGTACGGAAGACAGTTGCCGTTGTTGCATCTGAACATCCAGTCCAGGCAGGAGGTGTTCGATGCGAAGTCAATTTTCTCGGTCGTCAAACGTGGCAGCAGCTTCGAGTGATGGTTGCCTGTGCAGTTCTTCTCGTCGGAGGCTTCTGTGTCGCTGCAGTCATTCTCGCCATCGCATAACTATGACAATAATATTTATTACAATTACACATTTGACAATTATTAATGACACTAAATGTGAAAGTGAGTTTGTTTGTAACTTTTAGACACATTAACGGCTATCATCCATCATTATGAAATTTACTAAATTTCATAATGATGGTAAGCCGTTGTAGTATCTGCAAGAGAAATATTTTATTCTGGTCACGCGAAAAAAATCGCGGATAAGAACTAGTCCCGTTAGGTTTTTAATAATGCGAATTACCAGTCTCATTGTTAGCAATATGTCCATAAAGGTCGACCTCCACGTCGTCGTCCCTGGAAACCATTGTGCTGAATACCAAGTGAATTCATCACGTTGGGCTAATTGATCTACTTTTTCATTCTCACTTGTCATCTCACTGGTGCCCCACTAGTGTATACCGATAGCGCAGGCGGGGTTACCATTCCATTATAACCCATTAAAAAAAACTTAAACCATAATATAGCTTGGTATAGTGGTGGAGTGGAGCTACGCACCCAAGACCTGAAGATGCACTTGCCGCTGGGGCAGCGGTACATGTAGGGCGCGCAGGAGGCGTTGCGGCAGCTGTCGGGCAGCTCGTCCTCGCCGCCCGGGCAGTCGCGCTCGCCGTCGCACGCCCACGCCGCCGGGATGCACGCCGCGCTACTGCGCGAGCAGCGGAACGCGTCCGCCGCGCACTCGCCGGCCTCTGCGCCAGACCCGGTCTCTATGCGCTTCACTTGCACGGCCTGCAACAGAAGAGAAATTGAAACAGTTACCTCACCTGCGCTCTTGGTATACGCGCGAGGGAGGGTAAGTAAGGATGAAGTGTTTCAGTCGGTTAATCGTGAGGAATGAATGTGAAATCCTTAGATTATATAGATAGATAGATAGATCTCCATACAAAAATCATGATTAAAAGCTATTTCAAAAATAACTTCGGACGTACATAGAAGTTGATCTGACAAGGTGTATGTTAGCATATACCAATAGCACAGGGAGGGATATTCCATTCACATATCTTAAACAAATGTGGAAATAAAATAAAGTAAAAAAAAATTGTGTTTCTAAACATTTTTTATATTAGCCAATATACATTGCATGTTACAAAATATATTGGCTAATATAAAAAAAAGTTTATTTCCGCTATAATCCTCTACAATTTTACTTGGCATTTTATAAAGATAAATAAATAATTAAAACAGTTTATTTTCAGAAAATTACCGTAAGTAAAAAAAAAGTAAAGACACTAGTTTTTTTTTTTTCTTTTATACAACTTAGGATGGCAAACAAGCTGACGGCCCACCTGATGGAAAGTGGTAACCGTCGCCTATAGACATGAGCAGTAGTTCCAAAATTGAAAAATAAATAAAATATATAACTAAACTTACGCTACAATTACGTTCATCAGATCCATCTTTACAATCATTATCTCCATCACACACCCATCTCTTCTCAATACATAATCCATTAGCGCACTGGAACTGATTCTCGGTGCAGTTGTGATGATCGCAATCTATGAAAAAATACAGTATAATTAAAAACTTTATAAATTGTAACCAAGATCCATCTCGATCATGTCAGCTTTCAAACAAAAAATCTCACCATAATCGGTCTATTTATTTAGAGACTACGATGCCAAAAACAGATACGTCAAACTTATAACACCTCTCTTTTTACGTCGGGGTTTAAAAATAGAATACAATTAAAAAAAATATTACAAAATCGCATCTCAGAAAAGTTGTTTTCTTTTCACTTAATCAAATTTAAGGCAAATACCAAATAGTCCGAAGACAAAATTTTCCTAACAAATTCAATGGTGTCCAGTAGCATGATAGTGACCACTACTCTAGAGTCTACAAGCGACGGAATAGAGTCGGTAGATCAACGATGAGGTACCATTTTTAAATACTGGCACGTTTACAATACTTTATCGAAATGGCATAAACCAGTGTATACCGGTTTTTGTACCAGTAAATACCAGGTATACAAAAAAGGTATACATTTTTCGGTATTTCAAAACCGATATTTCATCAAATAATAAAAAATAAATCTATTGCGAAAGCAATGCATTACCTTTTTCATCGCTCATGTCCTTACAGTCGAAGTCGCCGTCGCACTTCCAATGCGGTAAGTAGCAGCGCGTGTCGTCGCACGCTATCATGGGCGGCGTGCACTGGCAGCCGATCTCGTCCGACATGTCGCCGCAGTCGTTGTTCCCGTCACAACGCCAGCTCGCCTCGATGCACGCGCCGCTCTTGCATGTGAACTGGTCCTATAGCGAAAAATATATAATTAGTAAACATTATTTTTTATTACAAATACAAGGTGTAATCAAGATCATTATAACATACTATAATAGGTGGATAAACTACAAAGTACTTTGAATCTCCCATACTAATTTAATAACTGAACGCAATGAACGCGAATAGTTATATAAATAGAAAAAAAATCGATATTTCACATATGGTTATACAATATAGAAAAAACATGTATTAAACATTTGTACTTAAATATGGGTACTTGAGTAAATATCGAATGGGATTACCGCACAGCTTTGTATGATTCACAAATGTATTACAAACTTTTGGTAATATTGCTTTGATTTCGATAAATAAATTTAAAATATATATAAAAAAGATTAATAAATAAAAAAACTAGTTTGCAATACATTTTTAAACACATTGTGTATATATCGTAATACTTACTTTACCACATGTTGCGCCAGGTTTACTCGGACATGTCATGTTCACTGTCGGTTGTTCATTATTGGGGCACATACATTTCCCTTCAGTAGTGCGCGTGAGTCCGTCTGGGCATAGACAACTGAAGGTGTTAGCAGGGCCCCCTAGGCATAGAGCGTGACAAGCATTACTATTATTCGAGCAAGCATTGCTTCCTTGCTGGACAAAATGGGCAAACACCTTGAGATCCATAAGCCCAGTGAATGAGTTATTAATAGTTACAATATCCAAGCCAGTATGTTTGTCTGCGTAGAATATAGATTTAGCTTTCCAGTCGTCCCAATACATCTTATCCTTCAACACAGCTATAGCAAACGGGTGCGCTACTCTCTCGTCGTTCCACAAAATCCTCTTAAAATGCCGACCATCTAAATCGGCACTAGCAATGTAATCTTCCATAGCGTCGACCCAATAAATCCTCTCAGACATTTGATCTATCGTTATTCCATTTGGCCAATGGACAGTTGGTTTTTTAAAGAGCCTCTTAATGTCTGAGCCGTCTAAATTAGATCTAGACACAGATGGATTGCTGCGATCCCAATCAGTCCAAAACAAGTAACCAGCCCTAGGATGCACAGCGATACCACGTGGTTTGGATAAGACTTTGGAATCCAAAATTGTTACTCGCATTCTTCCTTCATTGTTCAAATCAGTTCGAACAGCTTCGATTTTATTGCGTCTGCCGTCTACGAAGAACAAAACGTTCGAAATCCAATCCAGAGCCATGCCTTCAATGCTGGCCAAGTCACTGCCCACAATAATCTCTTCGGGCGTACCGTTATTAAAGCATTGACGTTTGATTTTGTCGCTGTCTATGTCAGCCCAATAAAGACAATTATTCTTCATATCAATTTCAATAGCTACAATGTTCTTCTGGTCAGAAACCAGTGTTAAAGTGGAGTTATCTGATAAATCGATGCGTGCAACTTTGTCTCTCAGAGCCACAATGAGGAATTCAGTAGGCTCAGTGATAGGGCATGCCACTTTATCAGGTGCGTAAGGCATGTAAGCGGGCGAGACACAGACGTCGCCGTCAATCTTCCTGTAACCCTTAGTTCGCATATACGACTGTCCAGGGCGGCAACCTGCCGGTATCGCGTATGGATCGTAAACTACCGACTTATTACGAACGCATTCGACACCGGATCGCATAAATCCAAAGTCGCATTCGAAATCGCGTCTGCTGCACTCGCATATTTCTTTCTTAACTGGCCTATCGTAGTCGATGCCATTATAACAGTTCGAGTTAGGTATGCGGCGCTGGAACGTTTCCCTAACACCGAGTACGCACGATACCAAAGAGTTGAGAGAAGACGGTGACCAGAACTTGTAATCGTCAGCAGTGCAGTTGCGTTCAAAAGTATTACGTAAATCGATGGTAATAATAATCCATTGATGTTGATCATTTGCCGAGCCGAACATGGTAAATGTTGTTGTGTTCTCGCCAGGCTCGGTCATCAGCCCGTATATGCGAAGGTCATTGTCGTTGAACCTAAAAAATGAACACACGAATCATATATTTGTTGTGACAGCAATTTAATAATGATTATTCAATAACGAGAATTGTGACTCACTGATAAGAGTGCCAGTCTATGCCTTCGTTCGTTGAATACAGTATCCTCCTTGTTTCCCCGCGGGATTTGAAATATTTAACTGCGACTAATACACCGCCATGGTCTCCATAGTTGAAGAAGTAATAGTCTTTAAGGATCCTCTTCCAGCTGAGGCCAGCATCTCGACTTATGTACACTCCAGGGATGCCTTTAAGGGATTTTCCTAGCACACCAGTAGCCATGATAATGCCCGGCGCAGACTTTGAACTCATTATGCTGGCTGATCTGTAAAAAGTAAGATGGAAATTATTTTCGTAGTAATAAATCATGGAAAAAATGTAGCAATTTCTATATAAACAACTATTAACGCCATTACTAATTTTTATAAGGGAAACGTTACCTCGTTTCTATAGGATGAATATGAGTTTCTACAAAATGATATGGTATGAGAAGGTCGATATCACACTAGGACTATATACAATGTGGTGTACAAAAAACAAACTTCTATGGAATTAAATAAATAAACTGTATAAAACACATTCCGTGCAAAATATAAAACATGTGCCAAGCTGGTTAATTCATCTACACTGCTATATCTACAGCTCTATGCTTTCCGTTATACCTAATGATCTGAGCATTTAGGTTCATAATTTAATGACAATGGTATAACGAAACAATCGAACCTATTCTACTATCGTACCTTAACCCGTCCGCAATCACATTTCCAGGAGGGCTGTAAAGAATTTTATTTATAAGCTGATTTACATAATCTAATTATATGAAGTATTCATAAACATTACTCTCATAAATGGCCAGTTCTTGAGTCAATATTTAATAGATATAATCAAGTATAATTCTTCCTGGAGAAATTAACCTAATTTTGATTAAGATTTTCAATTTTTTTCTACGGTCGCCAAGGCTATTAAGGTTGTGTGGAAATAAGTAATACTAACGGACCGTAACGGGGATTTCCTATGCTCTGATGGAATAAATAAAACGATAATAATTATTTCAGTGCATGTACACCAAACAACAAAACGTGTTTCATGATGTAATTTCATAATTACAATAGAGCTTGGTTTATCTACGTGTTCGTATTGTGACTAAAAATTCATATAATTCTAGAAACTTATAACGTGAATTTACAGAGGAATAACACCTGAGTCCTCAGGAATGGCAACGCATGGGGGGTATCATGGGCAAAACAGTATACTCTATTATGTCCATGGTACTGCTCATGTGTATAGGCGACGGTTACCACTTTCCATCAGGTGGGTCGTCTGCTTATTTGCCATTCTAAGTTGTATAAAAAAAACTTCGTTTATATAAATTGAAATTGAAAAATGGGCACACATACTCATATGGTCGACATTTTACTTGATATTATCTAGTGTACCATATGGTATACAAAGATCGGTGTTATAAGCGAATACATTTTTGTTCGTCTATCAGTTTCGACGTAGTGCAACACTGTTGCATCAGCAATCAGACGAAAATTGAATATTTTTGCCGCGTGGTCCTGACATAAAATGAGTCACTCCTTTCTCTGCCTCGTGAGTGTCCTAAGCGGAAACAAAGGAAACTTAATGATCAAGGAATTGCGTTCCTGTTAAACCATCACCAGAGTCTAACTGCGATTGACAACCCGCCAAGCGTGGCAACTACTAGCAACAGTAGAGGAAGGCTGTTTAGTAGTGAAAATTACCGGCTGATATGATGAAGATGATGATTTAAATTTTTACAATAAATCCGTTGACTACATATAGAAAGTAAAAGTTAGTTTTATGCGCCGACAATGTGACTAACAATTGATCAATGTAAAGGTACGATATTTCAGAAATAAACGTAATTCGGGCCCTTTTAATGTACACTATTACATCAAAAAACTGAACTCAAACAAATTCGAATTCAACAATACTTTTCTTGGACAAAAAATTATTTTCGAATTTCAAAATTTGGCTGTCGTGAATTATATACAGACAAGAAATTTATAACAAGATCTTTATGTATAATTGTTTTTTTTTTAGAGAAACAACCACATAGACACCTTAGGCTATAAATTACCTACTTGGCACTTTTACTCAATTTGATTTAGTAATTTATTTATTACATTACTGTTATAAATATAGAACAAAATTGACACATATGTACCTTTTAGGCATTGTAATGGAAGCGAGAGATATAGACATCCTATTAGGATTGGACTAGAGGTTTTTTTCATTCATAAACTTTTACATTATAATAGGCCTTATCTTATAGAAGCTTTTTTAATCATCTAACAAATTTACTAAATTTAATTTTTTATTATACGATGACAGTTAATTTAATTGTAACAAGCATATATACTACATATATGCTATATATATATATATATATATATATATATATATATATATATATATATATATATATATATATATATATATGCACTATCTTTCTGTTGCTAACAGTAATCATTATAAAAGATAAATACGATGTGAAAATTTATTTATTACCTAACAAGCGACTCAACTTTGACCTGTCGAATGATAATATATATGCAGTATCATTAAATAGTCATTTGACTCCAAATACAATGTCTATACAGCTAATCATACTGTTACTGTTGTTAACAAGGTCAGTTACTCATCAGTGAGGTTGACGATCAAATAACGACAATTACCGTTTTTCTTAAACAGCAAAATGTGTTCACCAATTTCCTTCCCGTAGTAAAGGGCACATTAAAATGTCAAATCGAAATAATACTCGTAAAAAAGAGAACTGGCAGACTATTCAATCCTTTATGTCAATCGTATATACAATAAACTTTTTTTTTTACATTAAGGACATCGATAATAGAATGTTACTTTATCGGAGTTCAAGGTCAATTTCAACTACTTGGAAAAATGATATATGCGATTAGCCAACGCGGTCAGTTTACTACAATCATACCATAATCTGCATGTAAACGAAATGTCCGTTATTAGATTAGCACGTTTATTGGCGTAAATTAGTTTAAATAATACAACTGTCTCGCCGACATACTCTGTTGAATTCTGATAAAATTCTTTCTCACTAGCCGTGGGCTGGATGATTTTTCATTGGCAACACACATACACGTTTTCATCCTCTATTAATTACGAGAAATCTGAACGAATAACAATAATTAATGCGAAGCCAAAATCACTAGCTAGAAGAGATTCTGCACAATACAAATGTTGTTTCAATTCCTATCAGAAACGATAAAACCGTATGATCAGTATTTAAACGTCTTATATTACTCTTAAACTAAAATTGAAGCGTTATTAACATATAAATACTATAAAATACTTAGCACAATAAAAAAATGTTAGCATTTTTTAAATACCTACAAGCAAAGCCACACTATTACACAACCATGGCTGTCTTTATGAATTAAAGATCTCTATCAACTAAGAATAAATTTATAAATATTTAATCTATCTTCTCTTTCCTATCAGACCGAAACAGAACAATATACACATAAATGTTTTACAAAAGCTTTGAAATGAATTTAAAATATTCTCAATAGTGGCATTACAAGTATCAATCCTTTAAAATTGTTTGCCTGTAGTACTATATCAGTATTTGTACTAACAACATGTGTACATAACTAACTCATTAACAGTAACACATACAAATGTATTACTTTGTAATCAATAGATTATGCATTTATTTATTCTTACCTTGTTACTGGATACAGTTGACTGAACTTCTGACACAAATGCAGACTGCAGGAGTTTTCAATTTGACAGTTCAACGGTTTACCTATAAACATAAATAAAAAGAACGGTTGCCCATATTTTCTACACAGTGTACTTTCAAATAATAATTTGATGGTAATTACAAATTAAATATCATATCATAATTATTTTTTTTATACAACTTAGAATGGCAAACAAGCTAACGGTCCACCTGATGGAAAGTGGTAACCGTCGCCTATAGACATGAGCAGTACCATGTACATAACAGAGTATACTGTTTTGCCCATGATACCCCCCATACGTTGCCATTCCTGAGGACTCAGGTGTTATTCCTCTGTACCCAGTAAATTCACGCCATATCCCACCCTTCAAACCGAAACACAGCCATGCAAATACAACTGCTTCACGGTTGAAACACGAATGGGAAACATACATCATTCATTTCAGCCGACAATTTGTCCATTGCTTAACATTGATCTCCACCATAAACTACGGCTCCTATTTCTTATGGCAGTTTACTATTGGGGGGAATTTGCCAGTAGTTGCCACGTTTGGCTAGCGGGTTGGCAACCACAATTAGGCTTTAGTGATATTTTCAAAGCGACGCTACTGCCCATTCCTCGACCATTAAGTTCCCTCAGTCGTTTCTTACGACACCAACGGGAAAGGAAGTCTTGATAATAATAGGCACATATAGGGGGAAAGGGATTATTAGTAATAGGGCTAACTGCCCCATTGTTAGCAATACACCCTATCAGGTCGACCTCCTCGTGGTTCTCCCTAAAAACCTTCATGGTTAATGCTAGTGCAATTTGTCACGATGGGCTAACTGACCAGCTTTCATGGTCACCTATCATCTCTCACAGGTGCCCCGCCAGCGACCATTTCATTATCATCAATAAAAAAAAATAGGCACACATATGGGACTGCAACATCAATACACCTATCCCCCGATTTACACGGTAGATACGTACGTTCCTGAGAAAAACGTGTAAATCGAAAATTAAAAATTTTCAAGTCAGAACCGTGTAAATCGAAAAGCTTGCAGAAAATGCATAATTTTGCTATTTAACAATTGTTATTTTTTTCAATATTTTTATTGTAGGTGATTGTTTTCAATATTTTTATTGTAATAGTTCTTATTGTGTCTTCGTTCATGTTATATGATTTTGCAACATCTACTACTCTATCTCCCTTTCGTAAGCGATCCAAAATTTCGATTTTAGTTTCTAAAAAAATAACTTTTCTTTTAACTTCTTTCGACATTATAAGCCTATAATTTTTTTTTTATTTATGTTATTTTATAAAAATCTTAATTATGCACCCACTTGTAATTTACGAATATGAAAAATTAAATCTTTCTGACACTGTGAAACTTTCACTCAAATACAATTTTCCGTAGATAAAACTTTAATTTTATGCGAAGAAATACAGACACAGTGTGCATGTGCAGCAAGGCAGCACATAAGCTCGGGATTCCCCGTGAGATGTGTACACAGCGCACGTGTTCAAACACAGTAACATTTAGTAGAGTGCGATAAAAACAAAAAAAAAAACTTATTTGGAAAACCGTGTAAAAGCGAAAACGTGTAAAACAAGTACCGTGTAAATCGGGGGATAGGTGTATACCTATTTTATAACAAACTTAGCTACATTTTGCATGAATCATGAGCGCAAATTCAAGGATATCATAATACCTAATTGAATAATACATATATAAATTTAGGTAACTAAATACCAAAAAAAATAGTGGACTATTGCTTATAAAATAACCATTTGTTTTTTTTTAAATTCTAAAACAAAGTTTCCTTATCTGCTTATAGCAATAGAACGAAGTATCAATATTTACTATTGCGTATATATATATGAAATCAAGTAAAAAGCAATGACTGCAAAAACAAACATTAACACAAAAAGTGTTTTAAAGATAACCTATCAAATATATAGATAATTACCGATACTTATAAATAGTATCAAAACATTTTTTTCTCACACACTCGTATCTCTTGTTAATAAAAACGCAGTTGTTTTTTATTTACCATTTTCATCTTCGGTGGGTGGGTTGATGGGTGACCACGTGACACCATGATCGTAGGTTATCAACGAGATAAGGTGTTCCGGTCCGACAGTCCCCACCAGTGTCTTGGTGTGGACGCGCGACGCAATGTACACGCCCTTCAACCCCTCCACGCGATACAGGTCGGTGAATGGGTCCTCTGTTACGTCTCTGTAATAAAAATATTATATACTATCTGTAGGCATGCGTAATATGAGTATCGCTCCGAAATCTATATATTGGATTTCCCTGAATATTGATGGTGGAAAAAAGGTCATTACCTTACAACATGGGGTTCTTTAAAAGGAAGCTATAGAGTTTTCTTCAGGGTCGGCAACGCATGCGTATCACCCCCGGTATTACAGGCGTTCATAGGTTACGGTAACCGCTTACCATCAGGTGGGGCGTATGCTTGTTTGTCACTTTAGTGGTATAGAAAAAAAACTATTTCGTTATAGTCCAAACCGGTCTGAAACCTATATTAATTTTAATCGGCTGTTAAATTCGATATTGGATAGCCGATACTTTATATATCCATTATTGAGCCAAAATATAGATATTATAGCTACAATATATAAATATTGCTGTATATTACGCAAATATATAATAACCCGTACAGAGCATTTAAAATGGAGTTGGACAGAACATGTGCTACGTTGCAAAATTAACAAATGGAGTAAACTCGTAACCTTATGGTATCCAAAAGAAGACACTAGAAGAAAGGAGCACCCGAAAACAAGATGGATAGACGACATTCGCCAAACCTTGGGGCCTTACTGGAGCAAAGTGGCGGAGGATAGAGTTCAGTGGAGAGAGCTGGGGGGCTTTTTTTTAATGGATGATAATGGAATGGTAACCCCACCCGCGCTATCGGTATACACGGAAGGATGATAGGTAAGGATAAAGTAGATCAGTTAGCCCATCATGACGAATTCAACAAGAATTGCTCACGATGGTTTCCAGGGGGAACCACGTAGAGGTCGACCTAATAATACATATTGCTAGCAATGGGGCTGTGAAACTCCATTGCTAACAATCCCCCCCCCCCCCCCCCCCCCCCCCCGCCCAGATAGCTGACGGAGGCCTATGCAAGGAGGCACGCAGAATTAAGAGATATAATAAATAGAAAGGGAAAATATATCTTGTAGAATGTATAATATATATATATATATATATATATATATATATATATATATATATATATACACATATTATATATATACATATATATATACCCCACACATGTTTCTTCCGGCAAGTAATAGCACTCGCTTTAATAATACGCAATACCTGAGAGGTACAATAAAGGTCACAGTATATTCTGTAATGCCCGTACTGTTCTCATAATCGATAACCACTTTACACTACCTATGTAGAGCGTCAGCATGTTTGCTATTCCATATTATTAAAAATAATATGGAAATTGTGAATTTGTTAGAGCAATTTACTTATTTACTTTACATCAACATTGTCATTTCAGTCATTACTTAGTTTTAAAGTACAATACATAGAGTGTTGAGGACATTTGACTGAGTTAATAGCTCGTAGCATTATCTACCAGTTAACCATGACTAGAGCAAAGAAGGCTATTATATTGTTATAATCCTAATATACTAGGTTTAGATATAAATGTAGACAGATCTGATATCAAATATATATAATAGTATACATGAAATTGAAACCTGAAACCTGTTTTTCTGGTTTCGAAATGAAGGAATTTGTCAATTCAACTGTATTTTTCAAAACTCTGTCAATTATAAACCAATTTTGAAATTCTCTTTTTATCTGAATGGATATACTTGGTTGCATAGACATTTTATAAAAATCTATCCAATAGTTTAGTTTTGAAATCAAAATAGTTTTAAATGCTTTTACCAATATTGAAATCATTTTTATTTTCGTTAAAAACAATCTTAATAAAAATTATTATTCTATTGGATAAATAATTTTTCTATTTTCTTATTCTATTAAACTATAAAGTTGGACCACTATTTTATCTAAAACAATTGTTGACATTTTAAATTAAGACTAATGAAAACAAACATGCTTATGTCGTCTATAGGCGACGGTTACCACTTTCCATCAGGTGGGCCGTCAGCTTGTTTGCCATTCTAAGTTGTATAAAAAAAAAAAAACAATATATATACTGCCTACTAACACATTCAAACAAAAAATTATTACAACCTCCTCTCGGAGAATGGAGCTACATCAGTTTTATAGCTGTATTATATTACAAGGACGTCTATTCACCTTTCGCGCGATATCAACAAAACAAGTTTTGCTAGAGAAATGAAACCACTTACTCCAACCAGCTGTCCTTCCAGTTTCCATCTGGGAAATAGCACAAGACCTGTTCCAAGCTCAACACGAAATTGTATTGAGTAAAATTGTTGTTGATCTCTGACACATATAAATGGGCGAGGTTGTCTGTGTGCATCACCGAGACGAATATGCGTTTGTCTGTCACATCGGCGATATGGAACTTCCTAAGGTCTAGCTCGGTCTGGAATTCGGCCTTGTAGAAGGGACCCCTTTGATGTGAGATGTAGAGACTTAAAGTGTTTTTCTGCAACAAAAACAAAAGATACATTTAATGTATGTATGTAAGAGGTATAATTAATACATGTAATAAAATCGTAACTAGTCGCTGTCTGTACATGAAAGATATATAAGAAAAACTATTATACGGGGGCTTTATGAACGCAATAGAACCCAAAACAATGATTTTTAGAATTTTATGTCTGTTTGTCTGCACGTTTGTGCATGCTAATCTCAAAAACGTTTTAACCGATTTAAATGTAATTTTCACTAATGCGTTGCCGTTTGCTCCATTTAACATTTATCGTTTGTTTTATTTTAATCGGTTCATAAATACAAAAATTGCATCAATATAAAGAATCACATATAAAATGCTATAAAATAACCGATTAGTTGAATTGGCTGAAACATGAAGGTAGGTTATATATTTTAACTGATAGGATATTTTAAATACCGATTTTCGCGGGCAACGCTGCGGGAAACAGCCAGTAATAAAATATAACTACAAATAGAGTACAAGTATGTATTAGAAATTTTTTTTTACATTTCAATGAAATTGTATTTTATGTTTATCTAATAAATAATTGGTGTAAGAGCAGGAAGATGATGTTTAAATAAATGTATATATAATTAACGCATAATAAACTTGGTTTATCTCATGTATATACACAGAAACATACATAAAAGTATATATACATATCTAAATTGTCTACTTTTTTTTAATGGGTGAAAATGGAATGGTAACCTCGCTCACGCTATCGGTATATATTGACGAGGCACCAGTGAAAGATGATAGGTGAGAATGAATGCAGGTCAGTTGGTCCACCATGATGAATTCGACAAGAATAAACCATGATGGTTTCCAGGGGGAACCGCGTGGAAGTCGGCCTGAGAGGGTATATTGCTAGCAATGGGGCTATTAGATCTCATTACTAACAATCCCTTTCCCCTCTATTTGTCTACTTTATAGGTAGGTAACTAATATGCGTATAAAAAAGAACGCAGGACAGTACGTAGACATTTTATCAACAAATATGTGCATATTTTTAGATATAGTATATCTAATCTATGATATTCAATCAACTGCTCATGTTTGCTTAACAAAGAACAAATATTACCCTTTTTATACACATACATGTGGGTGAGACGTTTCTCATTTTTTTTTCTATTTTGATTTACTTATCTTTCTGCCCTTGCCTCGTATCTATAGGTCATATTAAATGTTGTATTCTTTTAAGGAAATAATCATAGACATGAACAATTTCCAAAAAAAATATCACAAAATACGATAGAAATATTTCAACTTCCCATACTAACACGTGTGGCAACTGCTGGCAATAATAAACTGCCTTAAGAAACGACCCCGTTTATGCCATGTCGTCTTTTACCCATTCATCTCTTTTTGTCTCCCTCTCTCTCTACCCTTACGACCTTCAACGTTGATGCTTAATACTTTCCTTACCACATTCTCTTCATCCCCGCGCATCACATATCCACACAAAACTTAAACCACTAACTAATGGAATTAAATTAAATAAAAAACATTTTACTATCATCATCATCATCCCAGCTATTATCTGTCAACTGAATATTGAATAATTATAGATTGTATCTCACAAAAAAAAACCGACTTCAATTGAAACAAAATGAAATATTTTGGTCAAAAATTAAATTAGTGAATTAATTTTGATAAAATTTCTACAAGATCAATCTGTAAGTATATCATTTTAGATACAAAAGAATTTTCCAAATCGGTTTAGAACTGACGAAGTTTTGAGGTAACAAACAAAAAAAAATACAACCAAACTGAGAACTTCCGTCTTTTTGAAGTTGGCTAAAAATGAGGTATCTCTTTTATTATTGCCATTAAATGCAAATTTAAACATTTCTGAGAATAAATGACTCACGTATATGCATGAAACAACCTCTGGTCGTGTTGTTGCAAAACAATGTACAGTAATAACGTACTAGTCATTCTGAAATAATTACTATCATCATATTTTAGAATCAATTTGTTGAATAAAATAACAACTTTAGAGCTAAAATTTAAACTACAATCGTCAATAAGTCAATTTTACTAAATTTTGCTCAGAAAAAGGTCAATCTTGACGAGAGGACGTTCAAGTATTACGTAACGCAATTTTTAACCTCCCCCCCTCATGTAAAGTCACCGTAACTTTTTCTATAAACCCCCCCCCCCCCCCACCCTCACTAAACGTTACGTTCACTCTCAAGCGACCATTTTTACCTAAACATCACACTAATGAATACTGGCAACGGAAACAAAATAAAAATGACGTGCAATACAGTAGAGGGATGCTCCTTAAAACGTAAACGAAAAAGTTTGCCAACTCGGGATTTGATTTGACGTTGGACTTTAATTTCTTAGTTTTTTATTTAAATAAATAAAACAATGTTACGTAACACATTGTTTGAATCTCCCTTCCGCCTCTGTAACGCATCACAGCATTTTACAAGAACCCTCCCTTTCCCAAATAGCGTAACGTAGTACTTTAACGCCCCAATAAAATAAATATAAATAAATAATACTAAGTATGAAAAGGATATAATATACACGTACAAGCGCACGTATATAATAGTCCTTCCGAATGGAAACTCGCAAAAGTACCTTGAGCATCACAGCATAATCTGTGACGTCCACGGTACGGTTCATCTATACGCATGGGCGACGATTATCACTTTAAATACAATGGGCTCATTGGGGTCCGCTTATATGCCATTCCAAGTTATATATGAAAATTATTTGTACTAAATAAGTTGGAGAAAATAATCAGAAAAGTCTGTAAATATACAGAGCATAATTTTATTTTTATGTAATGACTACCGCTTTGAATTATGTGTAATTAGTGTGACAGGGTCACACTCGCGTCACAGCTACTCATAATTATCACGAAATAATTCCGAAACACATCGAGCTCTCTCGAACTAATTAAATATAAGTTAAACTGATAGTCATTACATTAAAATATAATAATGTGTGCCTACGAAACTTGTATCAATAAAAATGTATCATTGTAGTATCGTTTTTATATATCTAAATCATACAGTAACGGAAGGTTTTATCGGAAGGTCAATATACTTACAATACACAAAGACATTTAAATTTTCTTTGTTTATATCTGCAGTTCTGGTATGTTATCAGAGATATGAAAATAATCCAACTAATATTATAAATGTGAAAGTTTCTATCGTTAGATAATAATAGATAATGCTTGAATGTTTGTTACTCAATCACGCTTAAACGACTGCACGCATTTTATTGAAATTTTGGTACACAAACAGGTTATGTCCTATCATAACACATAAGATTTATATACTGTTTCATATAGACCAAGACATGGAAACAAATAGTAATATATATTAGGATGCTTTTCGGTTCGTAGGATCAAGTAATTTAATAGGTGATAATGGAATAGTGACTGCTTGCCCAATCAGTATACTCTAGGGGGCAGATGAAATCTTGTGACGATTTCAATGGAAATAAACACGATGGTTTCCAGGGAAACCGCATGAAGGTCGACTTAATTGAGTTAGTAATCTTTTTGTAGTGAGGATGAAGGCAGGTTAGTTGGCCCATAGTGACCAATTGAACAAGAATTAACCACTATGGTGTCCAGGAGGTTTCGCGTGGAAATCAATCTAATAGGGTATTTCATTTCCCCCCAATAGAGCTAGTAATAGAGCCATTAAATCCCATCACTAACAATCTCTCCTTCGACACAATGGCTTAACTGATTAAAGTAAATCAGTTAAGCCATTGTGGCGAATTCAATAAGACAAATATCTGACAAGTGTAAATTGAAAAATGATGAGAATGAAGACGTCCTTAGTATTTCATCCTTCCTTGGTTCCCCGCCATTGTATTTTTTTTTTATTATTATTATATCAGGCATTAACTGTCCACTGTTGAACCTCCGCCATAAAAGAGTTTTTCCAGTAGTTGCCACGCTTGACAGGCGGGTAAACACAGTTAGCCTTTGGTGATGTTTTAAGAGGGACGCTGCTGGCCATCCCTCGACCTTAAGATTAAGATTCTTTAGTCGCCTCTTACGATACCCACGGGAAGATAAGGCATGGTCATTCTATGCCGGAACTATACAGCAAATCCCGATGCTAAAACCATTTTATACCTTTAGCAAAAGCGAGAGCACCATTAAACTTCATCAATTAAAAAAAAATATTAAAATGTATTGCAAAATCGAGTCACCTTGTATTAAATCCGCAATAGAACGTTTGATGACTTCAAATTGAATGTACCTACGTCACTTCAGAGAATGGAATCACGCTGATCAAGGTGAACAAATCTAATAAAGATATACATACTTATAATAAGATCATATAAAATTTGAGACGAATGATTGATAATTTGATACGTGTAGAATGGATACGTAACATAGCTGTATGTTATTTATCATGCCAGCTGTAATGTAATAAGTTATATTTTACTTTAATAATAATTATAATATAATTTTATCCTGTGTAGAGAAAAAAAGATAGATTTTATACAAATACATAAATAGTAACACACACATACACACACACACACATACACAATCTAGTAACTATTGTTATGATATACTATAGTGTAGTTTTTTATTTTTATTTCCTTCTATATTTTATAATTACTCTAGCCACGACAAATTTATATCGCTAAGTCAGTGAAAACCTGTTATTGGCTTTTTATATGGATAAGTTGTTATTGTTTTAAGCTATAAATTGTAAGCTGTTGGTTTTCCAATAAATAAATAAATAAATAAGTAATCAAAAAAGTTGACAACCCTGCCCTAAACATATCTGTGTATTTTTTTTAAACAAATTCTAATAATTTAAAACACTCGTACCTACTATAAAACATGAGAGCACTGATTTAATATACAACTTAAATATATACCATAGTTTTCTTTGGTAATTGAATATATAAGGAGGAAAGGGATTGTTAACCCTTCTTTGCATAATGGTGGAAATTTCCATCATAACATTGAATGCCCAAAAATTATATAAAAGAAT